GGCACTGTGTTGTGTGAGTGGAGCGTTGATTATATTTCAACACTCTACATGTGAGTGTGCATTTGTGATTGAAATGGCACACGCGCCAGGCAGCGAGGTTGTTCTCCTCGTGAGCGTTAATCGTGATTTAGCAGCTTAAGGAAGTCACACTTCCCTGGATGATCCCCATGTGCTCTGGCCACAACTGATACTCTCCAAAGGCCAACAGCATAAAGCCTGACTGCGCTTCCTGCCACACTCTGCATTTTATCTCTCACCTAATGTACTTGCAGCACATGTTGGTCGCTGTGAACATAAAAACAAACATCTTGTGTTTTTGATGTGACAGTGGCATGCTGCTTGTGAACTTCTGTCTGGCTGACAGACGGACACAGTGACTCACACAGACGAAGGGAACCAACTGGCCACTTCTTACGAAATCTAGCGTCACTAAATCTCCATGTTTGCAGTCCTTCTGCCCACACAGGTCATTGAGTGTATTTTGCCACGATCATCGCATCGTGTTTGAGCTTCATGTCTTTCAGATGTTCACAATCGGTGCACCTGAAATGGCCTAATCTCCCTGCAGTGAGCTTTTGCGCCAGGCCACCCACGGAGAGAGATTGAGGGAGACACATGGGAGGGGGGTTGTACAAAAACCAGCAGTAACCTTTGAAGTAATTAACAGATTTAACAGATTACCCTACAAAATAGTCTCTTTCTCTACTGCTTTATAACAAAGGTGTTGTGTGTGTACATCTTTATACCATGGCCATTCTCTTTTCATCATATGGATATTTAATTTAACAGTCTTGACATTATAAATCCAGATATCGGCAAAAAGAGACATATTTTAAATAACTAGTCAGGGTTTAAAAAAAAAAAAAAAAAGCTGTGTATCTGCTGCTTTTTTGATGAATGAACTCCTTGTGTCCCCAGTGCGGCAGTGGGCATGCTTCCTTCTTATCTTTCTTTCTCCATATCTCCAACCCTCTTTCCTTCCACTGATAGCTTTCCTCATCACCTCCCTCTGTCTCTCCATGGTGTTTAGGACTAGTAGGGGGTTTGCTGTTTTCCGGTAATGAGAGGCTTTACAGGAAGCAGATATGTGTGACCATGATCAGTATCGATTATCCTCAGAGGCTGGCTGGAGGAGTGGGGGGTTGGCTAACAGGGGACAGCAGAATACGGAAATGTTTCTGTTGCTAAGAGACAGTAACTGCCATGGTGGTGGGTGACGTGGGGATGGAATGACAGCGACTGTCTGTCTGCTCAGGCTTATCAGGAGAACTATGTGTTTTCAGCTGTCACAAATACTGACTAATTTATTCTGTCTGCTGTAGAATGTGTACTACTACTATTAATACTAGTACAACTACTACTGTATTCCTACACACAGAGCAACCTGTGATTATATCATTCAGAAACTTAACTATAGTTTTATAGACATCACCCCTGAACCATGTAATGCAATATAATTACATCAGATAAAGTAACAAAATCAAGTTTCAGTTTAGTTTCTCTCTCAATCACCCACTTACAACTTTCTGTTTCTCTTCACGCTTTTTCTCTGCATGGTCTTTGTTTAGAGTAGCTAGTTTCCCTATTATAAAACAATGCTTTACACCTAGGTAAAGCCTAATTCAAGGATGCTTATGAACTGCTTGGATACTATTGGCCCATTGAACTGCACCACCTGTGGCGTGCATGTTGGGCTGAAAAGGGTTATAGTAATTTAGCAAGACCTCTGACCGAGATAACCCTACAAGAGGCTTAAGAAGCTTCGATGCATCCAAGCTTTAAGCCTCCTTTGGATGTTGCATTGAGTACAATTCTGCAACACCAAAGGGGCCTCACAGGCTCTCCACATACACTCCATGACTGCCCCTTGTTTCCCTTCCACTGCATTCATCTGGACCTCAGAGGCTGGAAGCTGTCCACACACGTTCACATCAGATCCCATATCTTTTTTCTTATGACCTCCTACCTAGAAGGTTTGCCTGTTGGTCCTTTGCACATGTTCTTATACCCTTATCCAGACAGTATCACACCGGCAGCTTTAGGGTAAAACGGCCTTTCTTTGTGTGTTTTGGCAATGTGAATACATTGGGTAAGGTCTCTCTGTCGCACACGCTCAGACACACAAAGGCCCTCTTATTTGGACCCTCATGAACTCTGTTAGGATTTATTACCTCAGCTTTGTCCCCAGTGAACACGTCAGGTCTATGTCGCAGATTGGGGGGGAGGAAGGGAGGGGGGACGGAAGGTAACAGTCTGATTAGTTTGGGGCAAGGAGTGATACTGACGCTACACAGACATGCATTGTGGAGAGCTAGGTGATTGGGTTGATTCAGAAGTCAAAATGATGAGTTGTTTTTTCTTTACATGTATTTGGCATATCCATTTAGAATCAGTAGTTGATTTTCAGGGAAACAGATCTATTATAAAAGCACATACGGTGAAAGTGTGCTAATGCTGACTTCATGCACATTATTTTATATTTTCACTTTCATAACATCTTTGAATTATGCAGCAGAGGCACAAAGCTCAAGAGTTAACCATATCTGAAGAAAGTAGGTCATTGTGGTTAGTTTCCCAATTATAGGGTTATTTTGCCTAATACATTCTGACAGATTCCAGGGAGAAGTCTGTAATTCAAATGTAAACACAGTACTATCTTTAGCAAGTTATAGTATTGCGTACATTTTAATATATGGTTTGATTTCTAAAATGTGCGTATGTATTAGAAAGAGAGTGTGGAGCTTGTTAGCATCACACAGGGTTCTGCCTGTGTCCAAACGGTCTGGTCTATCCAGTCCAACCTGTCATCATATCAGGGACAAACAGCTTGAGTTCTAAAACACACAGTCACGCATGCAAACACACACACAAACAAACACACACACACACACGCACACGACTTGCGGCTCATTTCTGCATGACTTCCCCCATTCCTGTCTATCTACGACTGTCCTAGGCAAACAGTGAAAACCTACCAGCACAATTATTAAGTGTACATTATGTGAAATATGAGTAGACGTATACATCAATGATCAGTTGCTATACTCGAGAGAAGGCCTGCTCCTCTGCATCCCAGCCTGTTTGCTCCGTGGACCTCCTGCGCGGATATTAATTGGTCCTCTGATAAACGTTGAACCTTGAGTGATGTTGGGTGATTACCATCTAATAAGGGCTGTCAATCAATATATATAAGCTCACACTATATTATGATTTAGATCTGAATTCAGTTTTTGTAATCTACTAGAAGCAGTGTTGATGGAGAAGAACAATTATTGTTGTCATGTCCTTCATATTGTAACAGTTTTGATTTAACACAATAAAACATGTACACCTTTTTTTTTCTTTTTTTGATATACGTTAAAGGGGACCTATCATGCGAAATGCACTTTTGTACGTCTTTTATACATGAATATGTGTCCCTGGTGTTCCAGGGAACTCACCAAGTGTCAGAAAACACAACCCTCTCTATTTTCCACTATACCCAAATCTCTAAAAAAAGGGGCTGCAACGGATCTGATACAGACTGATCCAGATTTGAACACTTTACTGACGTCAGTAAAGTGGCGCTACGGCTATTGGTCAATTCTCCACCTATCAGGGGAATGAGAGGTTGGGCCACGGCCGGCCATTGCTGCCCGAAAACGCTGGAGATGCTGTAGTACATATGCCAGGCCTGTAAGTGGCGCTGTAGTCTGCCACAAAAGCAGCGAAGAAGACTTCCCTTGCATGGTTGCCATGGTTGCCCTTCTGTTTATTCTCCGCTGTGGCTCTTTTTCTCCCTCCCCGAGGCAAGCGTTTGCACCTCCTGCTTTAAAACAAATGAATAATGACTCTATATAATCCTATGTAAGGGATAATGTGCAGCGACGCGGTCATTATGGGGAAAAGAACACCGACAGGCTGATCAGGAGCCCGACGCGAAGCGGAGGGATCTAGATCGGCATGAAGGCACATTATGCAATGTGCACATTATCCCGCTTATTACATTCTCGACAAAGTAACGACATGACTCCCAATATTAATTGAAATGCTTTTATGGATTTAGAAAATGATTTTATTGATTTAAAAAATAGTTGTATTGATTTAAATTGACATGCATCCGCTAAGAAAAATAGTCCGTTGTTACTGTTTGAACTAACGTAGCAACGGCAGGAACTGCTTCGATAGCGTTTTTGAGGAGCTTTTTGATCACAGATTTGAAAACATCGTTGCTTGCTTTAAAAGTAGCACAATTCATTATGTCAAACCTTGGAAAGTATATAGATATCCCTGCCCTAATGCTAAAGTAACTGGCAACTGAATATGTGTCGCCGTTTGATGTCTATGTCTGGACCGCTGCGTAAAAAGGAGGGTTTCTGCCCCATTACTTCTCTTCTTACTTCTATAAGAATAAAACATGGTGGACGGAGATCTCTTTTTGTCCCCCTCTTCTGACAGCCCAGCAGCTGATCTCAGAGCACGCTCCCCTCTCCTGCAGGGGGGCGTGGTCAGCTGCAGCTCACAGAATCAGCCACTGCCAAAACAGAGCTGGAAAGAGCAAATAGAGCGAAATGAGGCATGGCTAAAATGCAGGATCTTTTTGGTATTTTGAAAAAAAAACTATATTTACATACTTTATATAGGTATGGCCCTACAATATATTGTTCAAATATAGCATGATAGGTGTCCTTTAATTAAAAAATGTTCAAGAGTGTATAGGTCTAAATAATTGTCTCTTATTCAATTAATTAATTAAACTTGTATCTTCTTTCAATTGTAGTTTACTCCCCACTGTTTTTTACGAGGGGATTGCAGGTGGAAATGTATTAAAAGAAGAAAAATAAAAAATGTATATTGTTAGTTTTTCCTACTTTCTTTGAATGACTTTTAAGTCCCACCTCGTTGATGCTGTATTTATTATCACTATGTTTGCTGGAAGACATTCCCTACAACTCTTCTAATGTCTCTCTGGCCCTTTCTCCCTCTCCTTTACATCCCTCCTTATCTGCTTTCCTCCTCAGGTCATGGAAAGCCTTTGCCCTAGTTAGAAGTACTATCTGGAACACAGCCAGCACGTGGTGGTCGGAGGGAACATAGCCTAAGTCAGCTGGTGGTCATGTGTGAAGCTCTGGTCTGATGCCCACCCTCCCCTCAGCGCTGGCCATGGACGGGGAGAACTACCTGCATCCAGAAGGCCCTCAGCTGGACAGCAACTTGTTCTCTGTGGCCTCCCCTAGCACAGAGGTATGCTAACGGCTTATTTACATTTATTTAGATGCTAGATGCATGTTACTTCTTACTTGGGTTGTTTTTTCTTGTAGTCCTGTCCATGTGCCTGTATGATTAATGCAAGTGGTATTAAGTTTATTTATAATTATTTTATAGAAAGCAGATACATTCCTGGGAAGGTTTTAATTAACCTTTTTTTGTTATTGGTTATAGCATTACTTGGTTGAAAAACGTCAGGTATTTTTGAAATAGTGTTAGGAATCAATCCCAGAAGACTGCTTGAATGTATTCATTGCATAAGTATAGAGCAATGCATTTATACATAGGACTGTTGGATAAATCAGTTATAACAATACGATATATTGACAAAATTAAACTACTGCAGCGTAATGCCCCTTTTCTTTTCACTTTCCCCACTATCACATATCTATCATGTTAAAACACACTCTAGCTGTACCTCTAACTCAAACACTACACCTCAAATATTGACTGTGGGACATCTGAGCTCATTCATTAGCCTATAGGCAGGTAAATCATTTGCAACTATTTCGATAATCACAAATAGATAAACAATATCAAATAATTGGCAGCGCAGCCCTAATCTCAGCTCAAATATATGGGACGTATGCAGAGATTCATCTAGATTTGTGGGAAGTGATCCTACTTGTGGTAATAATAACCAGACAGATCTGCTCAACAATCCTCGGGAGATTCCATGTAGAGGGAGGGCATGTGATATCACCCAAATTCTAGGTGTCCACATGGTTTGGTTTTTACTTTGAAGGGTTAAGCCCTCTGAGATTTCTTCTGTCACCCTAGTATTTGGGAGAATGTTCAATAGTTTGTTCCGTTGTTTTTAAAATTACATTTGGAGAAAGTCTGTTTTTAGTTTTTACTGTAAGTGATCTCTACCAAAGAAATTATCTAAATGGACTTTGAAACCATCTAGAACCCATTACCAGTAAGAAGTAAACACATGGCTGAACTGACCATACATTGAAATAAAATCGCAAAAACCTGCTGCTCTATTTTTAAGATTATATTGCTCTTAAGATCTTAACTGTTATATTTCAATGTGTTTTTTCCTTACATGACAGATTTTGTCCTTCGTCTGTTTCAGAGTTCAATATATTCCTCCTCTGGTTCCTGGGGATCTTACTCTCAGCAGCCTGGATACAACGGTCACTGCCCTATGCAATCTGGAATCCAGTAAGTCCATACCCACTCACAAACCCATACCTTGTATTATCATGAGCTAGGAATAATATATTGAATATATTTATCAGCTGAATAGCATGACCAGTGAGTTTGAAGTCACACATGCTCTGTACTTTATATCTTTCCTAACAAGGCAATGCCTTTCACAATGAAGGCTGCAAACTGTTGAAATTAGGCAATACCTACCTCAAGGGTTTCACATGTGAGCTAAAAAATGCCTAATGCCCTGGAGTCTCAAGTATTACACAGTTACATGTAGTTGTTATGAGTGTGGTGTTTGTGTTGAGCGTCTTGTGAATATTTACCTAATAGTGTTTATATTTGACTCATGCGTTATTGCGTGAGACAGCCACATCCACATGGCAAACGAACACACTTCCCCATAATACTGACCTTCTTTAAAGGACACAGTCTGAATCACAAAGATACAAAGTGCTATGTTATTATTATATAGGACACAGATACCATACATGTATAGCTGTATGTGTTCTGCAAAAGTACCATAAGATCTAAAAGTCCCTAGTTGTATTTATATTAAAAAAATATTCCAATATAAATGTTACTGTGTGACAGTGACTGAAATTATAAATGTAAGAGATGCTGCTTCATTGAGTTTATTTGAAGCTGTGGTTCTGATTAGTGATTCATTTAAATGGTTCGCAAGAAAATAAATGCGGTTGCACCCTAAATCTGTGCCTTGTTGTATCCTTCCTATGAAATAACTGAAGTGTTAAAACGGGACCTTGAAGGTATTCAGACTCTTCTTGTGTCGATTGATTTTGTATTGTTAGTTATTATAAGGTCCTATTATTGCTTTCATGAAGACACCTGAATCAACCTAACACAATCAGGCCCTCCTTTAAACCTGACACGACACCATCCGCTCACGTCATAGGGGAGGGTCTCCTTTATCACACATCCTTCATTTCCTGTAGTGGGTGGGGGGTATAATCTCAACATCTTGACGCTCTGGTGTTTTAATGACCTCACCACCAAATGGGAGATGTTTGTGTCTTTCTTCCCACATGAAGTGTGTGTGCGTAAGAGAGTGTGTAATTCAAAGGCTGTGCAATTTCTTGTCTACACCGGCCATTTAGCAGAAGCAGCACCACATCACACCAGAGCAGAAGCAGATGCATGCAGACTTTGTCTTGTCTCCATGGCACCCGTCCAACCACATGATTGCTGTGCACAAATACGTTTTGACAATAATCACAGTCCAATAGACAATCACTGTGGTGGAATAATGGAGCGGAGACGTCTATCTGAATTAGTCAACATACTTTTTCTTATGCAGATTCAGTTAATGGGTGCTTGGATGTGGGTTTGACTTCCCTGGCTTTTGTTAAAAGGGATTGAAATTCCGTTTAACATTATTAATATTTAGACAACATTTCAACAAGTAAAAAAATAGGGGCTAAACTGAAACTTCTATCATGTAGTTCTGGTGTGTCTGGAGTGTGAAGAGTATGGATTAACTGTGTGAGCAGTCTCGTATGTACAGGCTTTATCTAGGTCATCTTCATGAAGGTGTGTTTGCATTAGAGCTTGGCACTCACTATGGACCATGTATCACATTTGTGAAACAGGTTTTTATTCTTATGTCAGAATGATACCTATCACTGTTTTTAAAAATGGTCATCATTAGCATAGTGTTTTTTTTAACCAATGCAAATATCAGGACATTTTGGATTTAATTTGAGATTGCGTGTGGGTTTGTATATGAACATATATAGCAAAGTCTTTTTTTAAAGACAACATTTCGTGCTTTTAGTCAAAACTTTTTAAATGACTTGGATTCAGTCATCGTCAAACCTGTGTCATACCAAACACAACTCAGGAAGTGTTTGTTCGCAGAGTGGTGTTTTGTTATTGCTGTCTGTGCAGTGTTTCTTTGAAATTTCACACAGCAGATGATGTGTGAGTACGTGGTTTGTGGTTTTTGATTTCGCTCATAGTAGTTTTCTGACATCAGGTTGGTTTTAAAAGACCCTTATCTCACTCTCTGTCTGTACTAACATCAGGATCAAAATCATGTTTCTGTGGTTTAAAGAAGAAATATGACTTAATTCTTGTCTTGTAAATACCATCATGTAGCAAGAAGTGGTTTGAAAAGTTGTTAATTCAGCATTTTCGATGTCAGTAAATGTTTTGGCCCAGAGTTACCAGACATGATGTTTTGAGAAATAAACAGAATTCTAATCCGCAGAAATGCTTTGCAATCATTTTTTTTTTTTTTTTTTTTTTTACTGGTATAGACATTTTTGTCAGTTGGAACAATCCAGCTTTTGCCTCTCTTCAGTATTTCTGATATTCAGCAAGATCCCTTCATCATTTGTCCCTGTTCTTTTATAATCTACAGACTACTGCTAAAGTGTGTCTGACTAACACTGAGGATTCAAGGATCCTTGTCATTATGCAACACAAGGCTGCATCAGGAGGAATGTTAAACTCAGCAACACAATAATTATATAGGCAAATAATATGAAAGGCGTATCTAAATAAAGGCATTGGCCTCAGGGGAACGTCGTTTATCAACTTTGACTGTTTGCACCGAGCGTCATCTGTTCACACAGACTCCGCCTCCTCTTGTCTCAACTTAGTCCTGCATGGCACGAGCTCTGTCAAATGCTTGTATGTGCACGATCATAAGACGATTAGAGTCATGCTTTTATTGATTGAACTTGAAAGCCCGTACGCTAGTTCTCTCCTCACAGGGCCATTGAGAACAAGCAGAGGAGTGAATCAGACACATTGAACCAGTGAGGAGAAAATGTGGATGGGCCAGCGCTTAGATTGCACTCACTGGAATGCTCACTCACCTGCAAAGCATTCAATATTCTCATGCTTGGTGATAAACATGTCCCAGAGACGGTGAGTCAATTTTGAGTTAGCAGAACAATAACCGGTTCATTCAAGGTGAGAACACTTGATTTGAAGGACAACTAGTATAGTGTCTTAAACGGTCCCTTGCCCATCTGCACAGAACAGGTCAACAGTACAGTTACATAATTAGGTGATGGCAAATCCATATAAGGCTCTGTAAAAAAAGAACGGATCCGTTTCTTCATATGTTATATGTCTTATGAAATAATGTTGTGTAATTTTCCAGTTCTGTTATTGTTATCGCTGTATTTTAACAATGTATGTGCTACTGTACTGTACTGGTGGTTACAGGCAGCTGTTGGCCCATATTCAGAACATTTCAGGCAATGTCACCCCCATCTATTTTACCCTTTAAACACTATCTCTAATAAAGGCCCTCGATGGCCTATCAAATATCTTTTAAAACCCCCCCAAAAGCAAAACAATTTAAATAGGAAAATAAGGCCTGGGGTTTTTAATAATTTTAGCAAACCGCAGTGACAGTTTGTGATGGTTAGGTCGTTCCACACAGCTGAGTCTGGGTGTTTGTTTACAGCATTGGAATAAGAAACAGGCCACAAATCCGCTTCTATTTGTATGTTTTGTTTGTCACTGATCGTCTATGACCAACTCTAGGTTATTAATCACAAAGGTTCATATCGTGTGCATCATAGGTTAACATGGCTCTGTGAAATAGGACTACATTTAGTTACTTAATACTGTATATTCCTTTATCACTATAGACTACATACTGTATATTACTATAGACTACATTTGAAATAGATTAGCAGAAGAAATATCCGAGGCTTTGTCCTTTGCCCTTTCCTTCTGCTTGCTTTCTCTTCGCTGTTCACTCTTTATACAGCCTGCAGCCAAACTGATGTGCTTTCAGAGCTGGGTCAAAGTTCACTTATTGCAATGCGCCCTGATGATAGCATGAGAGTTAGAATTAATTATTGTTTTACCAGCAAGGAAGAGCTCTTCTAAGGAATCTCAGCATTTGTTTATTGATGGATGTGCCTTTGTAGCTGAAGGGTCTCTGGGTATTTGACTAAATATTGATACATATGTTTTTCCGTGGACAAGTTCCTGTTTATCCTGTTTTATTATCACTTCAATGGAGATTCTGCTTTCTCACAGGGAGTTTCATGGACCATTTGTCTTGAATTGACTACTGTTGTTCTTTGTTTCAATTGTAAGAAGAATAGTTTCTTAGAAGTCAGAGTACGTAACTTTTTTAACTGCATGTTGTGCCTTGCAGGAACAGGGCAATTGTCACTTTTCCTTAACCAACAAAATCAATAACAAAGTGGAGTATTTGTTTAAACTACTTTTTAAATGTATCTTTGAATAATTCTAGTCCTAAGTATCTACCTTTATTCCTTATTTCCCGTGTGTCTTATCTTATTGTAAGTTCTGCAGTTGAGGTATTGTGCGTGTGTTAAAGGATATTTCTTAGATGCTAGATAAGTGTGTTTTGAAGAACAGCCTGGTCTATAATGTTTGAAAGGTACAGTACATTTAGAGCTGATTCAGTGTGGACTTGTCAACAAATAAAGAAGACTATCCTTTAAAGCTGGGGTAGGTAATTCACTTCAGAAACACTTTCTGTTATATTCCATGGAATGCTCTTAACATCCCGATAGCAATGAATACATTAAATGCTTTGACAATAAATACATTAAAAAAATGTCATCTGTGGAAGCCGTAGCGCTGTAAAAAGCACGACCAATCATTTTAGCCGGCAGCTGTCAGCCTTCCATCTGTGCACAAACTTATCTCGTGCCCTCATTGGTCATGTGTGCGTTCGTGTGTGTTGGAGGAGAGGCTCTGTAAGGAAGTCTGAAGGAAGTGGCAGATTTTTTTCCGGATGTGTACTTTCAAATTCTAGCTAGTTTCTCCATTCTTACCTACCCTACCTTTTTAAGGAATGAGGTTAATAAAAACAATGACTGTCAAAAATATAAAGGTTTCATATGTTTTCAGTCTTAAATGAAATACACTTGAAACAATAACAATGGAGAAAGAGTACTAATATAAAGCTACAGAGTATATAGGTTAGGATGGCTTTACACATGCAAGCAGAAAGTCAACCAGGTCGTTTGGCACTGGTCCAGAACCAGCTTTGTGTTGTTGGAGAGCAGGTACTGCGGCTAGCCAAGACTTCTGCCTTGATAATATCATTGGCGTATCGTTAGCTAAAATTCCAGGTAGGGGATTTCCAGGCTGAATGATTGATGTGATCATTCTTAGTACTCAAACCAACCTTTACCTGTATGATCTCATTCTTTTTTTTCCTAATTTATGTTCACCACTCATCATGATTGAAAAGTTAATCTGCCTCCTTCCCTATTTCATTGTCAAATGTACCTTCTTATTTGGTTCATCATAGAAGACAGAAGCATAGCAAATAAATACCCAATTAAAATATCCTATATAAGAATCTATATCTATGACGCCACAACCCAGTTGCATTTATGATTATCTAAACAAATGATGAAGATTTTCTAGCACAAACTCAACCAAAAGTCTTAATTGAACATGGAACCTGATTTGAAATGGAGCTGCTTCTATACACCAGCTCAAGTCTGCCCTTTCATCCTCTTGGTGGGTTATGATCTTAAATCAATCAGTCTCACTGATCTCTGGCCTCTTGTTGACGGCGATGAGCCAAATCCTGTGAATAGCTTTGGCCGAGCTCAATCCCTCTGAGCCGGAGCCCTGGTGCATGATTGGAACAGAGGAGCGTGGGAGGTCACGGTTACAGTTCCACCTTAACAAAGGTTTACTTTTCCTTTCATTTTTAGTGTATGCCCACTACTGTCAGCTAAATTGGTTGTTGCGTTTTGACTCGACTTAAACTCAGTAAGAAACTGAAAATACCTCATGTCTGGAATACAAGGCATATGGACCTGTCTCTGAGGAGGATGGTTGGTACTGTTGAAAGTTGGACCTTTGATCCTCAAAGCGGGTATGATCTGTTCTTCATTAATTGACTCAGTAGATGCTTGCCCTCTGTCGTTCTCTCACCTTATTTAAATCTCTAACCCTTTCTGCCTGTCTGACTTGATATGTGTTTTCATTATCTCTCATGTATCTTTGGCAGTTGACGATTACTTTACCAACTACTTTTTTGGCTTTGAACACTTGCATTCTTAGACACTTAGATTTAATAAGATACAGGAGCATATTGCTTCACTTCACTGGCTTCAGTCCCATTCCGTGATTACATTTTCAGAGCGTTTTCGTCAAAGGAAAACTGAAAGTGTTGTGTACATATTTGCAATGAGTTGGACTTGCTGAAAACATGATGTAATGTAGAAGGAAAGTGTTGAATCCTCGTATTATTATACTGGCCCACTGTCTTCAGAAATGATCCTGACACTTCTTTCATTCCTCTACTGGAGCTGTTTATTGCATGGTTCAAGAGCCGCATTCACACCGCAGGACTTTCCCTGGTACTTTGGTTCTTTAGTTCCGTTAGTACCAATAATGTTGCGTTCTCACCGCCGGGACTACTCAGTGCTGGGAACTCTTTTGGCCATTTTCAGTCCCTGCTAGAGAGGTGGTACGAACCTGGTGATAAAAGAGTGCCAATTTCTATTCTATTTCTATTGGCTGGGCGAATTGCAAACCACGCCCCGTTAGACTCTGATTTTTTTTTGTTAGGCAGCCATTTTTTTCCTCGCTACAAAACCACATCCACACCTGAGCGAGTAGTTTTTTCGTACTTTAAAGCAGTTATGACCACACGTACTACAACACCGGAGCGGTGGAATGATGAGGAAGTGTCGGCGCTTCTGGCAATTTACTCTGAGGACGGGATGCAGCAGCTTCTACAGAAAGCAGTTCCCAACTCCAAATGTTTTGAGCGATGTTCGCAAAAGCTACTTGAGCTGGGAATCGTGCACAGTGCACACGGATGCCGGGTAAAAATAAAGAAACTCAGGCAGGACTATAACAAAATTAAAGACCACAATAATAAGAGTGGTAACGATTTTCTATTGTTATTATATATATATATTGCCACTGTTTTTTAATACTGACACCTAACTTGCACTAAGGTGTGTCTGCTGCTATATATATTTCCACTGTTACATTGTTTTGAAACTACTTACACTTTATTTTACATTTCACACTTTTATTTAACTTCAATTTACATGCATACGACACACCTGGAACAGCGTGATGCCGTTATTGTTATGTCTTGACTGTGCAATAAAACAAACAAACTGGCGAAGCTTTATTTATTGTGTCCCACCCAAAATTTGCAGAATAGAAGAATGTGAGAGCAGACAGGTGTGGGTGGTTGAATTTATCTACAATGTTGCAACCTTGTGCAGCAATGGCAGGGGCAGAAACACAAGTCTTACACACAGAAACACAAGTCATTTATCATGTCATTTGTTTTAGATAAATAAGGGAAAAACACCAAACAAGGGTTAATGTCCTTTTCCAAAATCAGCCTGAGGGGGTAATATATAATAAATACATAAAGATAAAGTCCATTGTTATAATGGGGTATTTTATTTGTAAATTACCCTTATGAACTCCATCATGTCTGAGGTCGGAAAGTAAACAAACGCCTCATACAGCGGGTGGGCTTTATACCCCCTCCCCCGTGTAGTTCTTCTTCTCTCGTTTTTTTTGTACTCGCCGTGAAGTGGTTTTGCGGCCTGCCAGTAAACCCAGAGAAGAAGAAGACGAAGTGACGTCAGCGTAATCTTGCCTCAGGGAAAGTACTGCGGTGTGAATGCGATTGGCACTAGCCCCCTGGCGGATTCAGTGCCGTGGTACTTTAGTGCCGGCACTAAAGTACGGCAAGTCCTGCGGTGTGAAAGCGGCTAAGGTGTACATTAGGGTATCTGTATAAGGGTGAAGAAAACAGCATGTGTCAGTATTACTTGAAGAAGTAGCTGCTAAACAAACTAAACATCATTCCTTCCCTCCCCTTCCCCAGGCAATACCACTTGGACAGCAGCACTACCACCATCACTCCGGATGTGAACATGGACATGTACTCGGGATTCCCTGACGTCGACTTTTCCGGGCTCAACCTCCCTAGAAATGGAGACTTCCCCCAGGTTTGTTCCACATAACTCTCTTACATGTTAGCCAGTTAAATGTGAATTAACGTAACACTGACAAATTGTAGTGCCTAAATGAATACACTGTTGGACGCATTCTAGTACTCTTTTTTTTCTTTCCTTCCGTCTTACTCCCTTTATCAGAGGGCAGGACCTTGCCTCCCACCCACTTCTTTCATCCTGTCTTTCAAGTGTATTCAACTCTGCTTAATGTACCATAGAGCAGCCTGATTAAAGGCTAGTGTTGTCTAGACGACCGAAGCAGTACCTGCCCCATTCCTGCCGAGGCATGTCATTAATAAGACACTGTAATTTAGCGTTCTTCCAGGCATTCCCACTACGTCTTCTGAAACCACTGTTAGGTAAACCAGGAATCCACACAGAGAGATCTGATGAACGTGTGAACGTTTTGAAGTAAACAATTGGAGTCATTTCATTCCTAAACTGGGAAAACACAACTATAAGACTATGACGATTGTTTCAGGATGCACAGACGTAGGCACTGAAGTTAAGGTGCCGGCTTCAATTACCTCACCATGCAGATGATTACTATTCATCATTTGCATTTTCTACGAGTGTGTGTCCGTCCAGCTAATTCCTTATAGCCACAATCATATGAATAGGAGCTATGCCACTGTAATAACACAGGCCAGTGAGTTTCTAATCTGAGGCCTCTTGGGTTGAGCAGATGAGTGCCATTATGCAACCATATAAAAAAAGATGCCATGATGAGTTTTAAAGAAGGGAAGTCATGGGTTACAAAGCAGACATGCAGTATTCTGATTAACATGTCTCACAAAGGATAGGGATCAGCCATCGGGGTTTTTCTTGGTTCAAATTAAGGGCAAAGCAGTAAAAAAAGGGGGCAGGGTGAGGTGTGTTCAAAGCCCGGGGATATGTGTATTTTCTATAAATAAAATGACTACACACATCGCTAGATAATGAAGCCCAGCGAATCAGGAGCAACAATGAAGGCCCGTTAAATTTTGAGATTTTGATTATGTTTTTCTTTAAGTTTGATATTTTATTATTGAATACATGTAAAAAAGCATTTCAAATGCAGTGAAATAATGTAATACATTTAATTAAATTCTAATACACAAGAGAATGTAATTTCTTAGATAAACCAACACATTTAAATATTAGCAAAATTGGCATAGAGGAATAGGTTTTTTCTAAACTGCTGTGTGCAAGGCTTTTTTCCTTGTCAAATCAAATCAAGTTTTATTTATATAGCACATTTATAAACGATTTTTGGTCGAGCCAAAGTGCTGTACATATAATAAAATAGCCTACAGTAGAGACACTTTACAGCTAATACAACAACACAGATTGTTCAGAATATCAGTATGAGAAGAAAAAAACGACACCCTCTGTCCTTAGACCCTCACATCGTACAAGGAAAAACTTCCAGAGAAAAACCCACAGTTTAAAGGGGAAAAAATGGGAGAAACCTCAGGGAGAGCAACAGAGGAGGGATCCCTCTCCCAGGACGGACAGACGTGCAATAGATGCCGTATGTAAATCGAAGAGATAATACATTTTACAGCATATAGACCGAATGTCTCTCTGGAGGCTACAGAGTCGAACAGCCTGAGGGTTTTACAAAAGCTTATGGCTGTGTTTTACATTCATTTAACTTGATCAAGGTTTTGCCAAATAAGTGAGATTCTTGCAGGCGCATCTTCTATTGTGGCTGGCACAGGAACACTGGCAAGTCCTGGGAGTGAGTGTTAACTTATTTTTACATCATTGGTCCCTTTTTAGTTGAAAAAGCATTGGATATTTCCAGTTAATATTCGTCGTTTGCTGGCATTTTCAAGGCTTATATGCATGTTTTGTTATACCTTATCAACCCACATGAGAAAATTCTCACATCTCACATATATTGATGTTGGCAGAAAAAGCAACAGTTTATAGGAAAGCACAAATAGACCAGAAACTACAACGTCACTTATTTGTAGTCGACGTCTACAAATATAAAAAGTTTCACTTCATGTTTGTGTCCAGGTGTTTGGATGAGCATCGTGGTTCTGTGGAAAAAAAGAAGAATGCTTGGAGTTATATTAAAATGTTTGAATTGAGTTTTTAAACCGAGTTGAATTCAAAGACTACGAATGAAGACGTTTCTATATAAGAAAGTAATGTGTCATCCTGATCACGTGCTTAGAAGTGATGGCAAGGATTTTGTGATTCACATGGGGTTTCCCTAGCTTTCCTGTTGTCTGTGTTTACCCCCTCTGGCTATAGCTGTATTCCTTACAAGTAATTACAATGATCTATATTTATGTACACATATAGAAAAGTATCTCTTTATAGTTGGCATTTTTTGAACGTTTAATTTAAATGGGCTCTTTCATCATTGGTGCATTCATGGTCTGCAAGTTCCCGGCAGTTGCGACGTGGAATGCTATTGAGCCTCAGAAAGAGAGGTGTTCTGCTTGTGTTTTGCTTTCTCAGCTGTTCTCTCTGGTTTTCGACACTCCCTACCATGTGAGGCATGCAGAGAAAATGTAAGTCACGGGGTCATCGTGACTAATCCACCACCTCACCACTCGGACCATTTTTCGCCCTCCACAATCCTTCCGACCATCAGAGCACTATGCTGACTCTGTCCTTAATTAGAAAGTAGATTTGTACACTGCTGAACCATGACGGCACAGAAAATGCTCAGTCAGTGGATGTCCTAGTTTAGTTTGTCAGGTGACTGCCATGTGTATCACAGCCATGTGCTTGTTTCAGTCACTGTACAGCTGTTGGAGAAGTCTCTTTTGGTTTGACTTCCCGCAGTGTAACAGTTTATTTATGCAGTTCACCAGAGCTCGGTTGGAATATCCTCTTATTGTGAGGAAGCACACTGTTGGAGCATGTGGATATCCGTCTGTAAAGCTAAATGTTTGTTTTACAATTAATAGACTCCCATTACAGACTTGATCTCCTTCCTGGATCATTAGTCAATTACACTTTATCACAAGCTGAGAAAATAATTTCATGGGCACCGTACTATGCTGTAGTGTATATGAATTTGGCCTCTCACATTTTAAGTTACATGTATTGGATTTAGACAAGTAAATGATTTTCTAATTCACCAGAACATGTGGAACTTATTTTACAATTTATTTTATAATGTGGTTCAATTGCAAGTGATTCATGCATAAGTAAACAATGAAAGTCCCCTTATGCATTAAGTCTCTTGGGAGGTACTTGGAAACTAATGACATCCTTAAAAAGCACAATCAAACAACTCAGTGGAATTTATATAAACAGTGGAAACTTTGACAAAACCAAATTGAGGCGTCATCATATTTACTCAAACATTAGATGGCAGCTGCTTTATATTTTGTAAAATTAGCTCTGATGACTCTAACAGTGCTGGTTCACTAACCACCAGAGTTAATACTAAACATATCTGTAGCCATCACAAAATGATACCAATACCTTAGAAGTTCTGCCGCAGTGACACGTGCACACCTGTCTATGGTTGGGTCATTGGTGGAGTATTTGATCTTTATGCAGAACACCAGAATATTAACAAGACTTGCTGGAAGACACCAAAAACAGAACTCATTCACTCACCACCACTCTTTGAGGCTAACCTCAAAGAGTCAACAGCACGTTGCAAGCATGCAGATTAACACACATACTGTACACTCGTCGAGTACTGTACGTACACATGTACACACACTGAGCACTTTTAGGAATATGCACAGTGATATTCTCTTGCTACATTCTCTCATTCTGTCTCTCTGCGGTTCCTCTCACTATTACACACACACATACTGTATTCATGTCCAGAGTGCAACCTTTAGAAGAACTGAACTGCAGTCTGCTTTTACAGCTTAGCTTTATCTAGAAATGCACTGGCAATATTTGAAGTCATACCCAAAACCTAAATGTGTCTCCATCTTTTAACACATTGTAATTGTATACCCCTGACAAACTGTATATGTATTTTGAAAGTGCGAGAAATTCAACAGCAAACTCCAATTAGTCTCCAAACTGGCCTGAAAAATGCTAACGGCTGAGGCATGCTGGATAAGGTCCACTGATCGCAGGGTTGCGCTCTAATAATGCATTTATTTTAGACCTTTGTGACCCCACAGACCCTTTAGCAGCTGATCCATGAGTACATCCTTATTTGTACAAGCACAGTTCAAACCGACTTACATATATCTTCAGAGTCCAAATATGTACCGTGCCATGCTAAAGGAAACATTCAAACGGATATTATTTAAGTGCCGTAGTAGATCATCTTGGTTTTTTTATGTTATAATTGAAATCAGTTGGTGTTTTCACGTGACTTCCTTGAAAGATAGTCTTATTTCAATGCCCTAGTTTAAACAAGGAAGGTCAATATTATTTTGAAGGGTTGATAGGATCACTGTTTTCTTTTGGGATTGCCCCACCTGATCCACCTTATTTTTAAATAAGCCATGGATGCTTGAACATATAACTAGCCTGTATTTGATTAGGTATGTGCATGTGACAATGAGGCTGCATGTTTAATGGTCTGTACGAAAACTGTTTTGTCTTTAATAAACATGCAAGGATTCAGCCTTCTTTAGGCTGGGATGCAATGAGGTGTTTTTAAAGTCTTCAAAAGAAGCTCATACATAATTCATCCCTACCCGTGCACACACACACACACACACACACACACACACACACACACACACCTATTATTCAGAGGATTCCCACTCATAGCATGATGACACCACGGACAGGCGCCACTCAGTCTCTGAGAGTCTGGCTCCCCTGCAGTCCTGCAGAGATGGACATTACAGTACCTTACCACGCTGGCTTGATATCACATATTCCTGGAAGCTGGCTGTGCAAATTGACCCCTCCATGCCATCCATGAAGGAGATAAATCACATTATTTCTGTTTTTAAATACCACAATTTCCTGATTTATGCCCCTTAAACAGTTCATGTTGGGGTTCAATCAGAAAAACAAGTGTTACAACACTGTCTTTGATCAGTATCTTGGATTTTAAA